TCACAAGTGCCCAAGAAAAGAGGGGCAAGGCGTGGGGCGCAGAGATGGCCTCACTGAATTCAGACATAACTTTAAAGGGAATGACTGGCTACAGATGGTGTGGATGGGAGAGGTTTGGGTTCTGGGACCATGTGTGGCCTTCATTCTTACAGAGAGGACCACCAGCTACAGACCGGCTGCCCCTCACAAGGACTGGGTATAATGCCCCCTCCACTCTCCCTCCTAGGCATTCAGGAGGGTAGCAGGTGGCACTCCTGCGAGAGGCGCTGGGTCTGTGCCTGCTGCTGGTGAGTGGCGTTGTCCTAACCGCAGAAAGAGGAAGTGGCAGGTTTGGGTGGGGCTCCTTGCAGATGGTCCCACAATCAGCAATGCAGCCCAGGAGAAGCACAGAGCAGTCTTGCAATCACTGACACCCACACAGACTTCCTGTGCTTAGAAAAAAAATCTTTCTCTCTTTTGATTCTCAAATTTTTTTACCTAGAAGCCAGTTGGTGGTATGAGCCAGGCAGATCCCTTATCAGCAAGAAAACAACCAAACACACACACTGCTAAATGTGCTGCTAATAATTCATTTGAACACACGCACCCCGTGGAACACATTTCAGCCATCCCAGTTGAGGAAGGGAGCTCAATGGCATAGACCTGGCCAAGGCTACTCTGAGCAGCTACCAAGTCTGGGGCTGAGGAAAGAAATGCCAGTGCTCTGAATCCAAAACTTGTCCCCCTCAAGCACTTTTAGATAGTGGGTGGATTGAAATGCCACTTTCCTGCCACTGCTGCAATGGGAGGAGGGGTGGGCTTGTAGCAGAGTAAAACACAACAATTTCCCAGGGGGAGACACAATGTGTTTGGGTCACACAGGACAGAAGGGAGAGAGAAGACTCCATGCCAACTTTGGAGCAGTGTAAGTGGGATCCCCAAGCCTTCTTGTCTGAAAAGATAGGGGCAGTACTGTCCAAATGCAGCCACCTCGGTCAAGCCTCTCCCCAGATCTCCACCCCATCGAACATCATCCTCACAGCTCCATAGCATGGCTGCCCTCCTAGTGTAAAGCGAGAGAGAGAGTGGGGAGGAAAGAGGGTAGTCTGGCCTCCAGAATGGCCAAGGGTCCCCCCAAGACAAAATGACTCACCACTGGGCGGCTTGGGCCTCGGGGGCATGTTCTTCTTTGGCGGGAGGGCAGGAGTGTCTGCTTGACTCTTGAAAGGGTCATCCGGGAACCCAGTTCCCCCAAAAGAGGAGGATAAGAACGGGTCAGAGGACAGAGGCTGCAGGAGAAAGACTTGCTGTCAGGGGGGTAGAGAGATGGCAAGGGAGAAGAGCACCAGCGAGCCAAGGGGGGTTCCATCAGGCAAGCAAGTTGGGTCTCTCTCTGCCCGACCTGGAAAGGGCTCCAGCCTCTCCAGTGCAGGCAGCCCTTCACTCAGCCACTCCCTTGCTGCAAAGCCCAGCAGTGGCGTTGTTGTTGTTGTTGTTTTTTGGGGGGAGGGGTCCTTGTAAAGGGAGATTTGTTGTAAAGGACATCCCACCATGCCAAACAGCTCTGGTGGCAGGAATCTGAGCCAATGCACACAAGATCACAGACTGCCTGGATCTGTGTTTCCTTGTTCACTACAGCTGCTTTTAGAAACCCAACAGAGACAGAATCAAATGCTTTTTGAGGACCAGCTATGATGGGTTCGTTCCCAAAGGGCATGAATGCTCAACTGTCAGAACAGCTGCTCCTACCCCCGGCGGGAGGAAGGGCACCCAGCCTCCTTACAGACCCTTCAAACAGATGGATGGACAATAACTTTTCATATGCACAACAGACCTATGAGGCAGGCTAGGCAGAAGGACCAGAGGAAGAATGGCCCATTATTCTGAGCCCATCTGCAGGTTTCATGGCTAGGGAGAGATTACTGGCCAGCCAGGCAAACAGTGTAAGGAAGGAGCCCAGGTGGCTCCTTAGCAAAACAGCTGCTGCCATCTCTTTCTTCTCGCTCCAGTCTTTTTCTTATCACCATGAGCAGTGATTCTTCAAAGGCAAACCTGTTTCTTTTCAGACTGCAGTGGCCAAAGGGCCAGGCATGACTGTTGTGCTCACAACAGGACAAGGGAAAAACCCACCTTGGACATGCGACTGAAATCCGCAAAGCCTTCACTGCCACTGCTTCCCCCTCCACTGCTGAAGGTGCTGCTGCCAAAGGCGTCCAGGGTGCCAAAAGGATCTAAAAGCCAAGAGTCACAGGGAAGGGACCTGTCTGTCAGTGTCTGCGCCAGGCAAGCCTGCCTGCAACACTGGGCTGCCCCTGGATCTTGCCTACCCCGGAGACGTCCAGGGCTGCCGCTTCCCTCCTGGTCAGGAGAGTCCCAAGACACTTCTCCTTCACCCGCCCCAAAGCAGAGAATTCCACCAATAATCCTGAACACTAGAGCATCTTTAATAAAAGGAAATAGAAAAAGGTAATGATGGACCAGGTCTGGGGTCCAATCCTGTGCCAAGGAAGACCTGGCTCTCACCTGGCACTTTGGATGAGGAGACACTCAAGGACAGGAAAGGATCGTCGTTATCAAAGAAGTTTGGCTAAAGAAGCAGAATGGAGGAAAAGGTCACAAAACATCCCAGTGGGGCAGGAGAGCGGATGTGTACATGTGCACATATGAATTGAGAGAGTTTCATGTTTCTCCGTGGAGACAAGCGGTGCCTCGCCAGGACAACAGCTGGGGCTGCCTTGGAAGCTCATTTGAAACCTCTGGTGGGCACAACTTCAGCTAGCAGACTACAGCTCCCAGAATCCACAATCATGCTGGCTGAGGAAAGTAACTATCCCAGGCTCTGCCTACTCAATTACAAGGGCATTGCTTGTGGTCCCATTTCTGAGCAATGGTTGAAATCTGGCCATTGCCTTGGAGTCTATGCATACACGTATTTATTTGTATTCAAAAAGAATACGTCAGTCTGTTTCACTATCTAAAGGAAAGACATCCCCCTGCCCCTGACACAGGGGAGGCATCTACTGTCTTGCTCCCATCACACATCCTTAAGACCAGATGACTGGTTTATTTGGACAAAATTTCACAGACCTCAAATCACATCTTTGGGTGGCATCCATTACTCCAGCCATGGTGATGCTCTTGTGGGGAGGGCTGGGATAAGTGTGTGATGGGAGCAAGACACTCTGCTTATCCAAAAGTTACTTCTCTGGATGTAAGATACTTTTCCAAGGATGATTCTTTTGTTACATGTGCAGCTGTAGTGAAAACCTGCATGTAAATATGAGTTGTGTGCCACAAAACTATTATCCCTGTTCACATTTCTGCTTGTGGGCTGGAATTAACGGTGCCACTTGAGTCCTCTCCTCCTATCTCTCTTGTTTGTACCCATATCCTTTTCAATAAATCCTTTTGTGAACTGCTTCAGGTCCAGCCCTTGGGAAGAAGGCAGGAACCTTAATCCACCTGATGATGATGATGATGATGATGATGATGATGATGATAGTGATGATGATGATGACATGTATAATTTCATGAGGGGGTAGGGAGTATTAATTGTCTTGGCACACACTCAGGAAGTGTGCTAGACTGAATAACAGGATTCCTAAACAAATTCAGAAATAAAATGATAAAACGTGCCACCAAAACATCCCTTACTTTGGAGGGCAGTGTGGGATTTTGCAAGAACGGATCTGAAGTAAACGGATCAGTCTTCTCGGCCTTCTTAAAGAAATCTTCAGGTGCAGAAGCCCGGAATGGATCGCTTTCTTCAAAGGGATCTCCCCCAAACGGATCTGTCCAAAGAATGCAGGGAGTTAATGGCAATGGATGACAACAGTGCAGAGAGCAGGCAGCCGGAGTGATGCAAGAAAAACACCCTATTTCCAGTGGGGCAGAAGTAACTCAGCACCTCCTAGCCCTGGGTTCCTGTGATAGCAAACATCAAATGACAATGTGAAGCTCAGATCAAAAAAGGGAGGAAAGTGAAACGCTGGCCCATCATTCCATGGGCCACTGTCGTGTTCCTTATGGTAAGCCCTTTTTTATGCTTGGTTTGGGTTTGTTAAAATCTTCCCCTTGCACAGACCTACTGATAAGGAACCATTACCAGATCTCATTACCACCACCCCTTCTGCTTTGGGAATGCATTTTAATAAAGTTAAGAATGTATTTTTTTAAAAAAATCTCAGAGGAGAATATAGCAAGATCTACAACAAAATCAATTCATAAAATAATAAATAAAACAAAGACCAGACAAAAGGAGGCAAAATAATTCAAAACTGTTCATTCATGAAAAACCAGAAACTGAAAACATGAACAGTCAGGAAAACAGCCAATGAGTTGAGCAAACACACACACACACAGACATGGACACTGAGCACCAAAGCTTCTCTGGACCTTTACAAAGAAAGGGTCAGTGTGGATGGGGGGTCTCTTCCTCTCACCTGAGGCTGCCGGGGGCTGTTCCGCAAAAGGGTCATTCTGGAACGGGTCACCTGGTTAAGCAGAAAAAGGAAGCAGCTGAATTACTCAGAGCCGCCCGACTCCTGCCCTTCAAGGACCTTCATCCAGGCATCACTTACTGCCTTTAAAGGGGTCTTCAGCGTGGAAAGGGTCTGGGGGAAGCTCCTGGACACTTGGGCCACTGAACAGGAGGGCCTTGTTTTTGAAGGGGTCATCCTGAAATAATAAAGGAAAGGGTTCTAATCAGCAAGCCAAGGGCTCCCCAAATCCCAAGAGCGACTCCCAAAGCCAAGCTGTGGGATCAGAAGAGGACACACAGACAGCCTCCCTGGGTCACTTTCATCTCTCAGCCAGGATGAGAAGAAGCCACAGACAGGATGGGGTCACTGGGACCCATTCTTTTGTTACTGTGGTTCTTGTGTGCCTTCAAGCCTTTTCCGAGTTATGGCAACCCTATCACAGGATTTTCTTGGCCAGATTTGTCCAGAAGGAGGTTGCTTTTGCTTCCTTCTTAAGACTGAAAGAGTATGACTTACCCAAGGTCACCCAGTGGGTTTCCATGGCCCAGCGGAGATTTGAACACTGGTCTCCAGAATCATAGTCCAGACCTCAAAGCACTGAGCCACACCAGCTCGCTGCTCTTCCTTCACACCTCCATTTCCCCCCCAAATGTGTCCCATGTTTTGGCCTTTCCCTTCCATGTCTGATTTAAACTCAGGAGAGGTTTTTTTTTTCAGCCAGGAAGTAAACCAGAAGCTTTATATTCTGACTGAAAAAGTGCCTCTCCTGTGCATAAAACAGACCAGAGAGGCCACAAAACAAAGAGGCATCAAACTTTTACAATAAATACAATTATGTATGTGTGAGTATATGTATGTGTGGGGGAATCAAAGATCGAAAGGGAAGGCAATGCCCCAGATAGTCTGGCCAGTGCTGACAATCACAGTCTAAAGAAGTAAGTCCAAAGAAGTAACTTTCCCAAGCGCCAACACTATCCTGTGGCAAGGATGGGGACCCCTTTTGGGCCTGAGGCCCAAAGTCCCTGAAGCTGGAGAGTGACTGAGGGACTGTTGCCAGCAGGAAAGATGCGCCATGGTGCTCCGTGGAGAGGGCTCCCCCCCCATTCTGGCCTCCCACCTGGGCCGTGGGTCTCATGCTGCTCCTCACCAAGATTCCAAAGCCGCCCCGGTCCTTCTGGAGGTTCCCTTCACTGAGATCAGCTAGATTCGTCATGCTGCCACCCTGGTGAACTCCATTGGGTGCCTCATTGTACTGGTCAATGTGCCGGCTGGCTTCCAGGTGGCTCTCTTGCAGCCGGGAGAGTCTGCTCCTGGCCTGGGCAAGGAAGAGAGCATGAGGACACTAGAACCGGGAATGAGCCTACCCCCCACTCTGCTCCTGGGCAGATGCATCAAGAAGGCCCTGGGGAGGTCAGAAGCTGTGCTGGGCAATGCCGTTAACTCCCGAATGCACACAGGAGGCGAAATGTGTGTGTGTGTGTGCCTGTCTTTCTGCCTGCAAAGGACCAAAGAAATTCCAACATGCAGTCCTCATTTTGGAGTTCTTCATATCGATATACCTACATGCCTCTAAGAGTGATTAACAAACATAACTTTATAATCTACAAAACGTTTTGACTTCTTTTTCAGCTGCTGAAAACAAGAGTATGCAAGACTAAGGGTGGCCATGTGGACTTCAACTCAGGATGGCTGTTAAGCACCTAGACTGATGGGAAAGAAGGAAGCTGGAACTGTGTTAGCTGCACGTGGCTCCAGGAGGTACAAACAAACCACAGACAGACAAATCTGACAATTTGTTTGGGGTACTAGAAGGATGCAATTCATCATTAATAATACATATTTCTTAAATTGATTTGCGCCTTTCATCTTAAAATAGAACAGCTCTAAAGTAGAAAAAAATAACATCACAGACTGTAAGAGCATGTTCTAGTCTTAAAATTTGTTTCAGTGTATTTAAATACTCAAATTCATTGTTTTTTGTTTGCACTTTTTGGAGTTTTTAATCTTGTTTTGAGTTGCCACAAGAGTTTGGGGTTGGAGGTGGAATACCAGTCAAATAAAATAATTTTTAACAAAGTGAGGAAGTGAATACACAGTTTCTCATCCCTATTTATGTCAGAACGACCTGCCTCATCTGGACCAAGGGCAGAGAGAAAGGGTAGGAGAGGGAGGAGAAAATGGCCCCAGAAGCTCCCTATTGCCTAGCTGGGCAATCACCTGGTTGATTTCTTCCTGGGTGGATTTCAGCGACTTGATGATTGTCTCCAGTTGGATCTTCCCAGCCTGGATGCTCTGCCCCAACTGGGTCTCTTCCTGCTGCAAGCGGTTCAGTTCCGCTTTGGCCCGACTGATGTCATCTTCTTGGGATTTCAGATCTGACTCCTGGGATTGGATCTGCATTTTCAATGATGAAATCTGAAACAAACACATCAACATAGTGCTGACTTTGCCTTGGCTAAAGAAAAAAGCAAGAGGAGGGATACCAGGGTCCAAAAAGAGAGACACATAGGCTCTTGGCCAGAACCAGCATGGTGCTTCTCCTGGCCTTACTGTTACTGGGGCTAATTACACAGACATAGACAAATGCAAAAGTCCCACAGCAGTAATTCATGTAGGGTCATACCCAGCCAGCCTGAGGACACAGAGCAGGACAAGGAGGCTGAGCCAGAGCCTCAGTTTGAAACTGAGCCTGGTCCGAGTTCTGCCTTGGAAACTCAAGCAGAGTCTGTGGCCTCTAGGGAGGCTCAGCAACCAAGCCTCCTGGCAGCAGAGCCTTCAGGCATGGAAGGGGATGAAGAGAACATACCTACCTTCAAGCAGTGAAGAGCTGAAAGTGTGTGCCTCCAGTGTTTGAGGAGGCTTTATGAGAAACGCTATCTAATCAATAAACAGCTGAGCTCGTGAGAGCTGGAGATATAAACAGGTGAAGGACGCCAGACTAGTTGTCAGAGATTATCTGAGTTTGCTAGTGAAAGCACGCTTGATCCT